TGTTTACTAAATAGACTTTACAAATAAGTCAAATTTGTTTTGCTTCTGTCTCTTTCTTTGCCTGAACTTCATTATCCTTAATTTATGGACATGAGTGTAAATTACAATTACAATAAAAAACTAATTATAATTGGATAAATAAATTACGATATTCATTACAATATTAATCAATCAATTGCAATTGGATAAATAAATTACAATTACAATAAAAAAATAATTACAATTGGATAAATAAATTACGATATTAATTACAATACAGTTACAATTGGATAAATAAATTACATATTGGATAAATAAATTACAATTGGATAAATAATTTGCGATATTAATTACAATACAATTACAACTGAATAAATAAATTAGGATATTAATTACAATACAAATTACAATTTGATAAACAATAATTAGAATTTGATAAACAAATTGCAATATTATTTATAATACAATTACAATCGTATACAATAATCATTAAAATTTGATAAATAAATTACAATATTTTCTTAAAAATGAGTTCATTGTTTTGGCATGATCAACTAATAGAAATTAGAAATGCCACTACAATATAAAATTCATATTATAAATAAGTAATAAAGTACTTCGATTGCAGCGTTTCTCTTTTAATTTTTACGAAATCATTTAAATTTCAAAATAGAATAATAAATTTATTTCTCACCAATTCTTAAATTTCAAATATATTTGTGACGATTTTCGTATTTCTACTCCTTTATTATTTAAACCTAGAGTATATTTTAAATTTAATTTACATTTTTAAGCATTACATTCTAAAGTTTTACACTTTAATTCACATTATTTTATTTATTTTTATTTTTGGTAAAAAAAAGTTGTTTAAAATAATTTGTAAAGATATGCTGAACAATTTTAAACATTGGATATAAATTATTTTTCAAAATCTGCTTCGAATATTTGATACAATGTTCATTATTGAAACATCTACAGAAATAAAAATAATCCGTAAATTAAATTAGATATATACAATCATTGAATTAAAATATGATACATTCTACCTGTATGCAATACCCAGTGTTTTAATTTAATTAAAAATGCTTTCATTTTTATTTGATAATATTGAATGTAAAAATGCCTGTAAATAGAAAAAAAAAAAAAAATTAATTACGGACGTTGTTTTGAAATTATGAACGAAAAAAAAAAAAAAAGAAAGAAAGTAACGTTTTCAATCTTAATTAAATTATATATGAGTTCAATTAATTAATCCTAAGCTTATTCTGAAATTGCTATTTGTATTTAAATCAATACAAAAACCTAAGATAAAGATAAAATATAATAATTCATTGGGGTGGGGCCTGATTGGCTAGCACTCTGGCCCTCGGTACCACAGGTTTCGGGTTCGAGTCCCGGCGGTGCCATGGATGTTCGTAGTGGTTCGGAATCCACTTTAAACTGTAGGTCCCGGTCCTAATAGGGTCGTAGAGCGTTGAGGGGGCATTGTTACTCCGCGTCCGTGGCTTATCTTCAAGTTACACGCGCTCCTTGGGTCATACAAAAGTGAGTACGTCTGTGCAGCGCTTGCCTTAAGGCATCCAAGACCAATCTGTCTAAGTGTTTGCCAGCTGCATTAGAAAGAAAAAAAATAATAATTCATTGGAAAAATTGAAAGAATCAACGGGCCTGATGGCCGAGGGACTAGTGCTCTGGAACTTTGTACCACAGGTTTCGGGTTCGAGTCCCGGTGGTGCCATGGCTGATTGTATTGGTTCAGAATCTACTGTAAACAGTGGTGTGTCGTGTCTCATGTAAGTGTTAGGTGTAGGGCTGACATACCTACCTTATAATAAAAGAAAACATCTGTCTCAAAATCTGCCAGTAGAGAGATGGCCTCGGCCCACCATGGGCTTGTTGCGCTAATGAAGAAGGAGAATTAGTATATGGAATGATATTAATTATTTATAAGATTTTTATTTCTGAGATGTTATTTCTGAAAATATTTAATAATTTATTAAAATTGCGAGTGTTGAAATATGAGTAATATAGAAGAAAAATATAGAACAGATATCTAGTAAAATATGTTTAGTTATTACATATCCGAAATATATTATTAAGCTCTGCGGAATGTGGAATAAAAGCAGTGTTTCACATCAAATTAATATTAATATGAAATATTTTTCGTGCGCTAAACATTGAATGTATAATTTTAAATTATTACATGTTTTTAAGCTAAAATCACTATAATTGCATTTCGTTTTAAATTGAAGAAATTAAAATTATGAATTAAAAATTCAACTGGTCAGAAAAAATTAAACTTTCTTTATTGCTCACGATTTTTTGTAGGTTCGGTTTATCGCTCTACGGTGATCTTGAGCACACTTTTGGCTAAAGAGACCGGGACCTACAGTTTAAGGGGGATTCTGAACCAATACAAACATCCGCGGCACCGCTGGGACTCGAACACTGTGCTACCGAGCGCTAGCCACTCGGTCATTCACCCCATGATTATTTGTAGGAAAAACTTATTTAAAATACAATTTAATTTGATTGTTATTTTTAATTAATGGATATTTTTTTTTATCAATTCTGGGTATGCTCCTTCCTTTCAGACATGGCTCATGTGTACGTCAATTTACGCACACGTGAAACATATTGCTGGTTCCCACAAGCAGTTCCTCACCAACCTATTAGAAGTTATTACCCATAAAAATATGGGTATTATTTTTTGAGAGCGAAGTTTTTCGTTTCCTTGATCAATTTTTCATGTCACTGAACACTTTCAACGTTTATTATTGGTTAATTTTTTTTAATTTTTTTTCACGAGCTTATTGGTTTAGTTATTTATTTCAAGAAACTTGTTTATGCATAATACTTTAGTGGGGCCTGATGGTCGAGTAACTAGAGCTCGGTATCACAGGTTTCGGGTCCCAGTGGAGTCAAAGATATTTGTTGTAGTTCGGAATCCACTTTAAACCGTAGGCCCCTGTCTAATAGGAAAGTAGAGCATTGTGGGAGATAGTGTTGCTCGCGTCCGTAGCCTATCTTCAAAGCTACACGTCCCCTGAGTACTGCTAAATGAACAAAAGTGGTGCAGCGCTTGCTTATGGCATAAGGACGACTAACTGTCTCTGTATCGCCAGCGGCGTGAGAAAAAAAAAATCGTGAAATCGCCGCATATCAGTTCAATTTGTAACTAAAGATTTAATTCTAATGTCGAAGACATTTAGGCTCTAATATTAGAAAATCAAAACATTTTAAAACTTTCTAAGCACTTATATTTACTGAAAAAGATTTTATAACGATTTATTTGTATAATAAATACAAGAAAATAATGTTTATGTTTGTTTTGATCTAGTTTCAAATGAGTTATTTTTACAACTTGTTCCCAATTGTACTTTTTCCGGCCACGAGATGCCAAAAGTCTAGACAGTAGCGGAAATGAAAACCACATCAACGTTTTCTTTTAATCAGAAGAAGCTGTAAAAGAATTTTAGAAAAAAATTTGTAAGGCGGAAAATTGTAGCTGTTCAAACTGATCGTTTGCAGTTATAGGGATTATTCTTTTTTACTTTGTTACACAAAGTGTAATGATTTATAAAGACAAAAAAAAATGATAGAGTTTCTTATTAATATCTATTGATTTATTTGTACCTATGCCTATTATTTTTTTTAATTATATAAAAATATTGTCACTAAAATATTTTCAATTTTATTTTTACATTAAAAATGGTTTAAATGGAAAATATGTGGTTACTTTTTCTTAAAAACATCATGCGCCCCCTGCAAAAAGTATGAAACAAAATAGAAAAAAATATGTACACAATCAATCTCATCATCATCAACAGCCCCATGGTGGGCCAAGGTCATGTGCTTACTGGTAGATTTCGAGAAGAGAGATATTTTTTTACGGGATATGGCAGCCCTACATCCAACAGTCATATTAAACCGGAACCTACTGTTTGAAGTGGATTTCGAACCACTTCAAACATCGATCGCACCTCCGGGACTCGAAACGAAACCTGTGCGACCAAGCGCCACGATGTTAGTCACTTAAAAATTACATCACTCAAACTATTTAACAAAAAATATACAGTTTGAATTTAAAAAGTTTCACGGATATTACATATGCACATGGACTGACTGTAAGGTCTAAATTTTCTTATTTACAATCTACATAATGAGGCGAATTGGGTTTTATTAATTGAAAACGTTGGAAATTAAATAATATGATGAATATGTAGCGCTGATGTTACGTGATGATAATATATATCTCCCCCTTTAGTGGGAGTTTTTCAGGATTTGCGGATATATGACACGCAAAGTGGGGACATTTACTTCTAAATGCCTGACCAGATGCTTTCATCATCTTTTGATGGAATGTTATTGATGTACGTAAGAACAACATGAGATCCACTGATGTACAAGAGGATGTGTCGTGAGGACATTGGAGGAGACTTAGGTTTTGGCTGCTACATCTTTCAAATTATGGACTAACTTGTGGTGTGGCAATATATTTTTCTATTTTTGGTTTTAATACGGCTTGTCACTTTGTTTACATGCGTTGCAAAGGAAAAAGGATCTTTTATTGAAGTGCGTCTGGCAGTTTCGAGAAATCCATGAAATAGGGCCTTATACTTTTCACAAGTACGTATTAGTTTTATGTATTTATTACATTGAACGAATATAAAATGTCTTAAATCTATATATCTATTTATGTATACCTATATATATAAATATATGTTGTTGTTGTTGTTTCTTATCCCACTTGGCTGGTCAAGCCCACGAGCCCATACGTACTCATGACTGAAGGGGAAGGAAGCAGCTTCTGTTGTGATGGAGCACCCGAAGGTAGAAGTCTGACTTTGGCTCCGTGACGCTCTTACAGTCATAGGAGACGGGGACCTACGGCTTAAAGTGAATTCCGAACCACTACAAACATTCATGCCACTGCCGGGATTCGAACCCGAAACCTGTGGCATCGAGCGCCAGAGCGTTAGACACTCGGCCATTCAGGTCCCAAATTTGTGAATGCCAACGGTGTTCGCTGGTGGTCACCCTGAGTACTGACCGCGCCCAAAGATGCTTGACTTCGGTGATCTAACGAGAACCGGTACATATATATATATACATGTATGCAAAAATTACAATCGATTAAAAAAAGCAAGCGAAAGAAATTAAAATGCATATAAAAAATTCAAGCATTATCGTAAAAGGGAGAGAGATAATAAAGGGAAAGAAATTACGCAAAGCATATTATAAAAAGACCCGTGGGAGAAAATTAAAAAAGAAAAGATAAACCAACCCACGAGAAACAAAAGTCGTACAGGAATCCATGGATCCACCCTTTCAAAACATATACCCATAATTTCATGGATAATAATACATCTCTTAAGACATTTTCTGCGCGCGTTTCGTCGTAAATTTACAGGGACTGGTACATTCAATGCACAACCTCCAATATATTTGCGAATCTCTGTTTTACTTTACTTAAGTAATATATATATTTATATATATAATCACACATTTGAGAAAACAAATATGAAAATCAATTTTTTTCCTCGTTTCTTGGAACGGCGCCATTCAGTCCCCCCATAAACAGCAGATAAAATAGAAAAGTTTGATAATTGAATGTGATTTGTGGCTGTTTTTCATAAACTATCAACTTTTATTGAATCGTTCTGACGTGCATTCTAAAAAATCCTCGCGGCTTGTGATGCTTCGTCGGATGGCATTAATAGCCGCAGGGAAGGAGTGAGCAGGCGATGCTTCAGGAGAGGGATGACACTTCCAAAGCAGTCATATGCGAATAGAATATAAAAAAATGCACCCATTTCGCTACGATGATGAAAAAGCCTCGCTTGCAGTTGCTTTCTTTAACGGTCCCCTGCATAATATGTCAATATCTATATCTATTGCAATTCGGATCCGGAACAATATCTTATTTTTTTCCTCCTTGTTTTGAGAGGTCTGGACCTCAGGCACTTCAGGCTTTTCTGTATTGCGAATGCTATGATGATCTTATTATACAGGTGCCTGAATAGCTGAGTGGCTGGCGCTCGGTAACACAGGTTTCGGGTTCGAGTCCCAGCGGTGCTATGGAGGTGTGCAGTGGTTCGGAATCCACTTTAAACCGTAGGTCCCGGTCTATTATGATCGTAGAGCGCTGCGGGGGCATTCTTACTCCGCGTCCGTGGCTTATCTTCAAGTTACACACGCCCACTGGGTAATGCAATGTGAGTAACGTCTGTGCAGCGCTTGCCTTAAGGCATCCAAGACAGCTGTCTAAGAGTTTGCCAGCTGCATTAGAGAAAAAAAAAAATCTTATTATACAATTCTGGGCGTAGCTAAATACCAATCCACATCACTGTGCCTACAGCTGAGTTGCCCCTCTTTACAGTTTGAGAATGGCGTGGGACAATGGTCTGATTAGGCTCTGTGATGCTCTACAGTTTTATGAGTCCGGGACCTGCGGCTTAAAGTGAATTCCGAACTACTGCAAACATACATGAGGACGCCGGGGTCGAACCCGAAAACCTGTGGCACCGAGCGCCAGAGCTAAATACCACTAGCAGTTATTGGTGTGCAGTCGTTTTCTTCATTTCACTCCTTGTCAGTTGCGGCAATTGGCCGTTGGTACTCCAGGCTTCAGGTTCGAATCCTAGCGGGGCTGTTTGTGGTTCATATTTCTCTTTAAACTGTAAGTCCTGATCTATTTACCCAAATAGATGTAATAATTAGTCCACCTATTTACCAAATAGGTGGCCATAAAAATAATTTTTCGTGTTTGGAGGCAGGAGCGACTAAAATTAATGAACAGAATGAATCCAAATTTCACATACAGACTGTGGAAGGCATGCGGAGATGATTTCCGCAAAATGAAGTACCAAATGAGGCCGACAAGGAAGATGTACAAGACGTCGCGTCCAGACGAGAGAGCGACACAAGCCAGCAGTTTTCGTGAACCAATTATAAACTGGTTTGTCAATGTGGACGAGATCCTCTGAGTGAGTCAACTGTTTCCCTCTGCTTCAACCAAAGTTGGATTTTCCGGCACATTGAAAGAATTTCTAGTGGACGGACGCCATTTTCTACTAGCTGTCACTCGTGGCGAGTGATAACATGACTTGTTTCTCGCTCTCAGACAGACACTAGTAGTTTAATCATCAGTGCTTATTGTTATTAAGGAATTTAAGTTCAAGCACAAATTAATTCATTTATAACTTAAAGGTTACACACCAATGAGGCTTAATTTAATGAGGCTGGAAGATAATCTCCTGTGAAATACTCCTCTCTGTGGCAATGGATGTTTGTGAGGGGTTCGGAATCCACGTTAAACTGTAGGCCCCGGTCTAATTAACCTAAAGTGTGCACAAAATGACCGTAGAGCGACAAACCATATATATCCAAACCATGTAAAATATAATGAGCACTGTGATCAGAGGTTCTTCAAATTCAATCAATATTTTGAAGAGGCTAGAAGATTTTTTTTTTTTTTTCTTTCTCATGCAGCTGGCAAACACAGACAGCTTGGTCTTTTTGGATGCCTTAAGGCAAGTGCTGCACAGACGTACTCACTTTGCATTACCCAGGGGGCGCGTGTAACTTGAAGATAAGTCCCGGACGCCGAGTAACACTGCCCCCGCAACGCTCTACGATCCTATTAGACCGGGACCTACGGTTTAAAATGGATTCGAACCATGACAAACAACCATGGCACCGCAGGGACTCGAACCGGAACCTGTGGTACCGAGCGCCAGAGCGCTTGCCACTCGGCCATTTAGGCCAGAGGCTAGAAGATAATATTACTTAAAATGTAATTGCACTGTAATCGGAGGTTTTTCAAACTCAGCCCGTCACTTGATGAGGCTAGAAGATAATCTCACATAAAATATTATGAGTATTGCGATCGGAGGTTTTGAAATTCAATTGGGGTTTTGATGCGGCTTGAATATAATATGATGAAATGATATGAAAATGTAAAATGGTATGATATGAATGAAATGTAAGTGGTTCTGTATCAACAATCTTTTTAATAAGAAAATGAATGTTTTCCGGCCAGTAGCAAACTAGTTAAGGGATTCATTTTATACATTTATCTTTTTTTTCCTTCTAATGCAGCTGGCAAATAGACCGTGATCTTTGCCATAAGGGTTGCACTGATGTTTCTCACTTTGCATTACCCAGTCGGCGCGTGTAACTTGATGGTAAGCCACGGAGTAACAATGTCTCCGCAGCGCTCTACGATCCCTATTAAGACAGGGAACTACGGCTTAAAGTGGATTCCGAACCACTACAAACACCCATGGCAAACTCGGGATTTGAACCCGATACCTGTGATACCGAACGCCAGAGCGCTTGCCATTCGGCCTTCACGCCCATTTATCTTTATTTCTCTTAAATGTATTTAAATTCCCTTGTTCTAAGATTTATCAAAGCAGATATGTTATTGCCATGTATGTTATCCGTAAAAGGGTTAATCATAATTTCTTCTTAGTTGTTGTGACTGTCTTGTCCCTCATGGAAGGAGGGAGAGGAAGGGGGAGAGCACTTTTGTTGTGTTTAGCCTCTGTAGGTAGAAGTCTGACTTGTCTCCGTGTCGCTAAAGGAGGAGGGCAGTGCTTTCCGTAAGGACTTTTAAAGGGAACCACCCCGCATTATCGTGTGGGAGAAAGCTCCCCCTCAGTTAGTTCAAGAAAAGAGGCAAGATACTGTACATCATAAAAGACATCGATTCTCCTCGTTTTTAAAATAGTGTCTACAACAATGTCGCCAGCGGATTGCACCACCGCCCTAATGCTCACCAGCGACACACGTTGATACTGCACCACGAGTCGAGCATTTCTTATTAGTCTTGTATTATTTTCTATTAAAAATGGCTATGTTTAGAATGCATTTTTCTTTTTCATGGCGATTATGTAATAAAGATTTTATTTTCAGTCAATAGAATAAAAAAAAAAAAATGCAATTTTCTTTTACTTAAAACATAATCAAATGAATTTATAAATTCTTATTAATCTAAAAAGATAAGGTGAGCTTATGCGGCCTGTTGTTGCTTTTCAAAAACTGAAAAAAATATATATATGATTCCTAAAGCTGATATTAAATAAATCTATCAATTGATGTTAAATATTATTCTTTTTAAACTATTTTTATTTCAAATAAAAAACTCATCGAGACTTTTTTGAAAAATATATTTAAAAAAAACGCTTTTATTATTGAAATTTCAAGTCCCTAAGAACATAATATTAATTTTTTGTTAAAAATATCATTTTTTTGGTTCTTACCCTTAAAGAAATTAAGATTTTTCTAACTATTGTTTAATTAATTGTGAATACTGTGGGAATTTTTTCTATAACTAAAATACCCTTAGTGTGTTTATTTTGATACATGGTATTATAAATGACTTGTGAAAGAAACTGAGAACAAAAACTAATGTTTGTTTTTTGAAAATGGCGAATTAGTGGAAGAATATCATTCATGCTAGGGCTAATTAAATATTATTTTTGTTTCAAAAGAAGTCTTAAAGAGAAAATGAATATGTTGTCAAAAGGAAAAAAAATACTTAACATAAAAAGATATCAATTTAATTATTATAAACACACATAATTAGATGGCATTACCATTTATCAAAAGTCATTTTCGAAGATTATCATTTAAAAAAATTCTCATTTTTTTTTTTTTTGCCAAGAAAGTTAAGTTATAAGAAATATTTTTTACCAGAATGGACCACCATAGTTAAAAAATAAACCCTTGCTCTTAAAAATAAAAATTTATTGAAATATATAATGATAAAATTGTGATTTTTTTTTTTTTTAAGAAAAATTGAATTTTTTTAAATGAGAAGCAAACAAAAAATGAAAATCAGCTGTTATAATTTATCTTAGCAGACATATGGAATAACAAAGAATAAAAAATATTCATTACTTTTTGAATAATAATTATTGATCAGTTGTAGATTATTTCAAATACTCAATTATTTTTGTAGATTCTTTTTCACATTAAAATAGGTGCATCTTCCTCTCTCTCTATCTTAAGCAATTCATTTTGACGTGAAGTTAAAATTAAATCTTGTTATTTTATTAAAATAACTGTATGTGGTCATAATTAAGTGTATGT